CTTAATTTGGACGAATTACTTAACTAACAATGTATAACAATAACATGATAATGAAAAATGAAAATGTAAAATCAATAATTAAGTAACATTAATGAAACTGCAATAATTATGTACATTAGATAATAAATAAATTACAAGAAAGATAGGACATGTGGTTATAAATCAGGAAAGCGGGAAGATATGAAATAGCAAAGAGTCAGCAAATGTATGTGACATTTGTGATAGCCCTCCACCCCCCCCCCCCCTCCCCTTTCCAGATGTCGATGAACATAATCATCTTTTAATGCTCTTTCATTTATCCTCCCTTCCATCAGTTGTTATACCTCCCCCTGAGGAGGGAGAGGGCGCCACTGAGAATGCACAGGAGGAGGCTCCTGATACAGCAGAGGTGGAAGGGGGTGAGGAGCAGGCACAGGAAGAGCCAACTGAACCCACACCCACTGGGGAGGAGGAGCAAACACCAGAAGAGCCTACTGAACCCACACCCACTGGGGAGGAAGAGGAAACACCAGAAGAGCCTTTACAATTAGAAGCACCAGTGGAAGGTGGGTTGAATGTGGGAAATTCTGAATTTTTCGAAAGATAACTTTGAAGAAGACTTTGAAATAAGATTATAGCGACATAGAATCCCTTTCATAATTAAGAGCAACATATGTTTTAGTGATTTGTACAACAAAGGGAATGTTATTTTTAAAGGCATCGCTTAACAATGTTTAACCTGAGGTGCATCGCCCTTCGTGTTATCAGTGTCTGTCATATGGTGTAATATTCAAGCCCTAAAAAAATTGCGCTTCCAAATGATCATGAAGTGCCTTTAAAAAACTAAAAATCTTTGAGTGACCGGTTTTTACCATACTCAATTCCCCCAATTGACTTTAGTGTTATAAAAACCATTAGGAAAACGAATAATGATTATTTCTATTTCCAATCATAAATATCTGCATAATCAGATAGGCGATCGGCTTGTAAAAGTCATAGGATTCCTGACTGACCTAAAGGTTTATAATTATGATTGCAGCATGAGCTAAATCCAGGATTTTGTTTCTGAATCTGAGGCAATGTTACAGAGTTACTTTAATTTCATCTGTGTCTTTTGTTCTTTCATCAGAGGCGACAGAGTCGACGCAAGAAGAGGCTGCACCTACAGAAGAAACTACTACCACAGAAGGAGCAAAAAGCCAGGCCGAACATTCACATAAAAACGGGGATTTGTAGCAGTAGTTAATGTACTTGTAGAGTATCAGGATTTATCATGAAGTGTGTTCCCAAAGTACAAGTTTCATATGTTTCCTTAAATGGCATTTTTATGGCAGTTTGTGTGGAATAACCAATACCGGTATGTTGAAGAGCATGGGTCCTAATACACTTCCTTGGGGTATTCCAGATGTAGTTATCGCAGTTTGTTAATGTTCAAGATTATTGGTCCAAATAAAATCTTGTGAGTCTCTTGAGGTGTTCTGGATGTCGTTATGACAGTTCATATGAAGTAACGCTTATGTTGTATAATACTGGTCCTAGTACACACCCTTGAGGTATCACAGATGTAGTTGCAATCCTGAGAGAAGAGGTACCTTGGAAACTTGGTACTATATGTACAATGTATGAATTGAATGAATTGTAGAAGTTGTGATGGTAACATCACATATTTGGAAATGCACCATGGAGACATTTACTGTAAAACCAGAAAATGTAATGTGCATGTAAAGTTGTGAATTTCAATTGACTTAGATTTAAAAAACACTTTGTGATGCGAAATAATTAAATCACAACTGACAAACTCTGAATTTGTGCAATTCAAAAAAAGTTTCTTGCGGGTAAAGTTGCACATTGCAAAAGTTTGATTTTTACAATAATGATATGCACATTTTCTGCTGTCCCTAAATATATATTTAAGATGATGATGTGCTTGGCGGTAGAGGATGGATCAAAAAATTTATAGTTTCTCTGTTTTGTAAAATACTAGATGATGAAATACTTCAAGGAACACACTTCATGGTAAAGAAAATCTGTAAGGGTGGAACATTTTGCATGACCGATTCTTTTATTTTGAGTATGGTACCACAAAACATGATGAGTAATTTTGCTAAAAGCCTTGTAGCGTGTATGCGACCGTTAATCAAGAGTTGCTCTGCATTCACTTCCTTACCTTCTTACTATTGTAATAATATAAAGATCAAACTCCAGTAATATTTATCACAAGAAGTTTATTATCTCAAACTATGCTTCTACTTAAATCTGTAATTATCTGGGTTTTTCAAAGCTTTTTTTAATATAGCTTCTTAGTGCTCTTACAGCTTTTCAAAATGTAAATCGTTTGAATTCACTTTCATCTATAAAGCTACAAAATTACGTCGCTCAAAATATTCCACGCTTACAGCTAGTACTTGACCAAAAGATTAAAGAAGTGCTTAAATATATGTTTTGTATGTTGCACGGTACGTGTGAGAAATGAATTTGTGTGTTGGAATTATGGATACTATTTATGAATAGAATTGTGGTTACTACTGTTCACTTTGAGTGAAAATGTTACTAAAATAGAATATTAATAGACGCACAGATTTGTTCAATGTTTTGCACAAAACTATTTCCTAATTGATTTATGTGTTAAAATTTGCTTTAATATGAGCTATGATTATTGTTTTGTTTTGTTGCATTTTCATACAGATATAGGGCACCATTCTGATATGTTTGGGTGTAAATTTTCTGATTTATTTATACGTCTGTGTGTAAACTCTAATGGGTAGTGGAGGGCTAGGCAATGAGGAGCTTCATTTGTTTAAATTAATTTTTAGGAATTATGAACAATTCAAGAATGCAATTATCATTAGTGCTTTTTGAGCACATTGATTTTTCTTCATTATTTCTGTTAAAAGTTTAAACCAGTTCTGGTCATGCGATTGCATTGTGAAAGAAACGTTGTGGAATCGATCAGAAAAGGTTGATCATCTAGCATATAAGTATTGGTGTGTACTGCAAGGTTCTGGAATCATCAAAATGATAAGAAATTTAGCCCAGTCTTGGTAAAGTTACAAGCACTGTACACAGAAAGATGTATATGGGACTAGGCTATATCTATCCAGGCCGGATAGATATGATAATTTACCAAATACAAGTGTATATCAATTAGTAGGTGGTTTCCCGGCAAAATTTGTATCATCACATATTAGTCAAAACATGTTCTTTCACATGATTGGTAATAAGAGCTTCCATTTCATTTGTTGAGAGGGGGGCGTTTCCAAAACTGGTCTATACCTTTAATGTTTCTTGTTTTTTTTACTTGCTTCTTCTCCCAAGTTTTTCTGTTATTTGTGAAGACCAAGTTTTTGTGCAAACAATTTACCTTCAGGTGATTCTTCAGATGAATTCCAAGAAGACAGTAAAAAAAAAGAGATTTGAAATCTATTTTTGATAGTCCTTGGAAGAGTTTCATGGCCGTGTCTCAGTGTGAGTGTGATAATTTAACACGAGTATGAGAGGGGAAGAGAGAGAGGGGGAGTGGGAGGGAGAGAGAGAGAGAGGGGGGGGGGGGGGGGGGGGGAGGGCGGGAGAGAGAGAGAGAGAAGGGGGGAAGTTGAAGGATAAGGGTTGGAAAAGGGACTTGGAGAAACATAAATATGGAATGCCAAGAGATTGAGGTTGAGAGTGAGAAAAAAATTACAGTGGATATACTTCAACGAGAAGTGAAATAGAGAGAGAGAGGGGGGGGGGCGTAGAGAATAAGATGAGATGACACTTCCCATTAGGAGACTACCATGTTCCCTTCCTTTTAGAACACTTCTCTGACTACGATGGTTATAGTTACTCGGGAACGGTTAACAACTCAATTATTCATACCTTTGTCGAGTTTGGGAATACATATAGTTCACAATTATTTGAAAAATTGATTTATCTCAATAAATAATTCTTGAAAATGTGACATATTAGAGCTTACATCTAAAAGTATACAACAAAGGCCCTAATTCAACAAGGGCCTTATTCAACCGCGCCACCTTTTTTTCTTGAGTTATGAAATACAGAACAAATATGAAATTTACAAAGGCTATAAATAATTTAGTTGTTAAACCAGGCGAGTACACAGGAGGGGGGGTTGGGGGTTAAACCCCCCCCCCCCCCCCTTAACCCCCCTTTGGATTTTTTTTTTTTTTTTTTTTTTTTAAAAATATTTATTACCAAAAAAAAAAAAAAAAATATTCCCATGGCTGACCTAAAAAAGCTGACCCTACCCCCCCCCCCCCAACGGAGCAAAATGTCAAATTTTCAAATTTCGAGACCAAAAACTATATTGATTTTCAATGAAAAGCAAAACAGAAACAAAACAATTAATTTGCTAATATAACTAAAATAGTATTTGATCAATGACACAAGTGTTTATAACTTAACAAGCTGTGCTTTAACCAAGGTCTCCTCGTCTTTCTTTATTCTACATTGTACTGTTATGATTATACTCTATGATAATGTTGTTACATGTAATTTCTGGAAAATAAATACACTTGATACTTGATACTTATAATATAAATATAGCCCACCGATACGCTCTAACTTTGGGTTTCGTTTTTAGCCTGGTCTTTATTCGTCAAAGCTAGTGCAACTTAGGCCGAGGTCCATGGCCTCACGTACTGCTTATGTTTGGAAACGGAAGAGCACATACATTTCTATGTTTATCGTCATTAATTGTATTATTTTGCGTAAAACCTGCAGTGTGCATCAGGGCATCAAGCTAGTGCCCCTAGCTTCGGAGGCGGCAATTCCTGACAAAGTTTTTTTTCCTGTCAGATCGATCGAGTCACTCAGATCATGTCGTATACGAAAAAGCTACCAGTATTTTTCATAAACATAGTCGGAATTAAAATACTTCAATATTCTATATTAAGTACATCAGTAACATTATCGCTCAGTCAGCTCTCACTTTCATTATCTCTCAAAACGTACATGTATGGGCGTGGTCGGTAATAGTAGGCCTGCAGTACTTGAGTCGAGTGGGCGTGGTCGGTAGCATTTTATCTGAAGCCGATCGAGCCCTCTGTCAGACAAAAGCATGGCGGGTAATTTGCCTCCGCACGGTGACATTCTCCGTTTGAGCGAAATCCATGAGCGGGGGCCGCTGCTCATGGCTGGAAAATCTGTCAGAGTTATGGGAAAGTGAGTTTGGTATGAGTGAGGGATTAATAATGAAATGAATTAACTGATTAAGTTTGAAACATTGATTAGAAGTCGGAAGAGGATGTATCTTCGGTCCCATAAGCTCACATTGATGTTATTATTAGTTCCCTGTTGTTTCCAAAAAATTGTGTCTTGTTATTAATTGTTTATCGCATTTTCTCACGGAGGTCAGTCATTGTAAACGTCAATCTTTGTGACAAATGGCCGTGGAAACAGCATTTTATGCTGTGAATGTTAAGAGAGAGAAGGTAAGAGTGGAGGAGAGGAGAGGAGAAATAATGGTCTAAAAGAAGAGAGACGAAAGGAAGAGGAGGAAGAAAGTAAAATACAAGCAAGGGGGATAAGATGAAGATGGAATTTGTTTTGATGGTTACTGATTGATTAAGAAGTTAAAGGAGAGGAGAGGGATAATGATAATGAAAACAAGGTCAAGGGGGTATACATGTAGCAGAAGAAAAATAAAATGAAGCAAAAGATGGAGAGGGGGAAGAAAACGACAGCATTGAAGAACGATAAGAAGGGTACCTGGTAGCAAGAAGTTATTTTTCTACGAGAACCAAAGAAGATCAATCGTGCACAATTAAGTAATTCCCATTTTAATTTTCAATGTACATGCAGGCTCACTCGGTACGATGCCATTGAGCAACTAGCCCTCATAACATCCTCCGAGCGCAACTCCACCCATCACCTTCAAGTCAACACCCGTCTCGTAGAGCCATTCCAGTCCAGGATCGGCTCCACGTTTCAGTTCATTGGCGAGATGCCTTCGGAGATGGAGAGGGATGCTGACATGGTCGTCCATGCCAGGGTCGTCCGGTGTGTAGATGGAATCGACTCAACCATGTACTACAACGCTTGTGACGTCCAGAGGAAATTCTTGGCATCGAGAGGACCAGCAGCAGCGGCATCGAGAGGACCAGCAGCGGCAGCATCTGCATCTTTTACTACTTGAAAGCAAATTATGTGAGGTTTGTTCGTATGTCGATACCATCCAATCATGGTCAGAATGAAAGAATTCAGCTCCACAATCTTTGCTGTGAATCTGTATGGCCTCCAGACACCAGAGGGGCGTTTCACAAAACAATTTGTCATCATGACAAATGACAATTTGTGTTATAAGCTACTGAAATCCTTGCTTCTGATTGGTTATCAACAGATTTGTCACTGATTTTTGTCATTTGTCATTTAAAAAAGGCTTTGTGAAACAGGTCCCAGTTCTCAAACTTACAGAGCTATAGATCTGTATGTTTGGGATATGCCAGTGACAACGATGGTCGACCTCTCAACTGCAGAGGTGAATTAACTCGGCCAGGATAATCAGCAGAAATTCTGCAAAAAAAATTCTTGTTAGAATTTGAAATGATCCATCTTGTTTGTTCAATTCAATGCCATCAATAACAATCAATTGGATCTGTATTATCTTGATAATATGGCCTATTCCGGCTGTTTTTTTTATTGTTTTAACCATGCGATCTGGCTTCTTTGCATCGCCAATGCAGATTTTTACAAACTTTTGATTTAAGTTCCCCATAATGGGCAGCTTAGGCAATTTGTAGGATGTTTGGTAAATAGTATGCGGTTAATTGTAACTTGATACTACTAGGAGCATCCAGTCCACTGCTGAACGATGGTTGACCCATTCTTGCCACAGCTCTTTCTTTTTTTGATGAACGAGGACCACTCTTTGATGGAGATGTGTCGTTTCAAAGAGGAGAAGTAAAGATCCCTTTTCAGTGAGTTTCCTTTTTCTGCCTTCATTATTTTCACTGTAACTGTCTTCTTTTATCAGTGACAACCTCAACAAGAGTCACACATGTTTTGGTGATTGCTACCCTTTGTATGATGATAAAGCAGTATTTTATTGGCAAGGTTGAGTCAAGATATTGGTGAAAATACATCTCTCAGCTGCTGGCATGTGTACAAAGCTGAATCTTATATTTTTTATTTTTTGTTGTTGATTGGTTGCTTTTATTCATGTTCCATGCAAAAATAAAAAGTATTACCGCTATACATTTTACAAAACATTAACATTTCTTTAAGTTACATGGAAATAATTAGGCCTAGAAATGATAGTTCATAACATGAAAGAAGGTTGTGTAAATCATTAAATATGAAAATGAAAAGTGAACCTACTTAAAAGCTAGACTTTATTAATCCATTGCACATGATTTGATTGTGGTGGAACACACATTTGTTATAGCCTTGATCCGGCCCAAGCTTGATTGAGCTCAGTATTTAATGGTAAGACATTAGTCTGCATGCACAGACACTTTATCACAAATCCCAAAGCCTTGAGTAGAGCCTAGCTCTGTCAGCCTTTGCTTCTCTGGCTGTATGTGTCCATAGCACTAAAGTTCAAAACCCATGCAGTATGCTGTCAGCATAGTCTCATATTGCAGACACTGTTATGCACAGTGACTAATAACAGTTTGTGTCTGAAAACTGCTAGACTATTTACATAAATGGTAAAACCCATAAAAAGCAACAAAGAGATCCATCAATATTTGTTTTACATTTGTTTATGGCTATGAGATAACAGAATATTGAATGTCAATGTAAAAAGATTACATTTTACAGTAGACAGTTAAAGTTAACAGTTAAAGGAAACCAAAACCTTCATACTAAGTTACTTTTATTGTAAAGTTTAAGATATTTGAAAAATATCAGTGAAAATTTGAACAAAATCGGGCAAGGAATAAGGAAGTAAGAGCTTTTTGAAATTACTAGTCGCTAGAGGGCGGTATTTGATTCAATTTGATGACATCATCTGTGGACAACTCTCCATGCCTTTTGTACATCAAATTTCATGTTTTTCCTTCTTTCTTGTTATTGAGATAATGTACTCCCCTGAAAGCAAGATATAGAATGCAAAATGATATTCTACTTCACATGTTATGAAGTCGGATCAAGAACACAAATAAATACGAAGAAAACAACAAAATTGTGAAATTTGATGTACAAAAGGCATGGAGAGTTGTTCACAGATAATGTCATCAAATTGAATACCGCCCTCTAGTGACTAGTCATTTCAAAAAGCTCTAACTTTCTTATTCCTTGCCCGATTTTGTTCAAATTTTCACTAATTTTATTCAAATCTTTTAAACTTTACAATAAAAGTAACTTAGTATGAAGGTTTTGGTTTCCTTTAATTTTAAACAAAATTATGGAGTTTGTCTCAAAAGCATAAGCCATGGCAGAATGCTTTTAGAAGTGGTGGTGCTCAATATTGAGTGAAGCGCCTATAACCGATGATATCAGTTTTTCTATTTCTTAAACTTTGCTGCATATAATTTTTAAAACAACTCATATGCTGCATCATTAAAAAATTATATTTTAAGATGAATCCTATTTTTGTAAGTGTGATCAAACAATGAGAAATAAAGCCAAAGCTGTATATTCAGGAAGTACTTTGATGTATTGAATGGTGTGTATGTCTCATTTAATACATATGTGACCTTTGTCACATATCTTTCATGATATTGTAAATTACTGTGATGTCATGCGTGTTGTATACATCTGTGAATTAAAAAGAAGGAAATAAGAAAAGGGAATAAGAAAGAAAGAATCAAAGAAAGAAAGAGAGGAAGAAAGAAAGGGAGAAAGAAAGAACAAAAAAAGCAAGAGAGAGAAAGAAAGAAATTAAGAAAGATATGAATAAACATGCAGGGTCATTTTGAGTACTTCGGTATGTGTGCATGCATGAGTGACGAGTTGCCCCCACCCCCCCCCCCCCCATATTTATAATTCCTTCTAATTTTCCTTTCCCAAAACAGATATCGAATTTGGAAATTATTCTTTGATCTTTCTGATCAAATGTTATAAGATATTTCCTTCATTTATTAGGGGTTCTTCCCTTTCTTCTCTCCGTTTCATGATTTAACCAAGTTCTTAAATTCTGTGGTGCCTATCCTGTTTGAATAGTGTATCAGTGACAGGATGTATACTGCACTATTACAAAAAAAAAAGCCCCCACTCAATATTTGGGGATGGGGAATGTTTAGAAAACGGTAATAAAAAGCCAACCGCCCCGCCCCGACGCTGGTCAAGTCATCCTAACTGATTGCTAAGATTTTAATCAAGTGATCAGAAATCTGACGTGTTTGTTAATTAGACGTATAGTGATGTCTATTTATGTATTATGCAGTGTTTGTATCGTTTGTATTGTTTTCTCACCAAATATACCCTTTTCTTTCTATCTCTGTTCTCACCCCATCATCTCTTTCAATGCCTTTCGTATCTCCTCTTTAATCTTCTCTCTCTCTCTTTATCTGTCATTCCCCCTCTCTCCCCTCCAGCTCACAGTCTCTCAGTTTCTTTGTTTCTCCTTGCACTTGCATTCGACTTGACTAAGTTTGACATGCATCTTCCCTCTCTAAACTTCACACTTTCTTTCCACCTGTCCCCGTTTTTATTTTCTATCACCCTCAGGTGGCACATCTACTCACTCGACATTCTAATGCCCCCACCCCCATGACACCAGTTCCCCCCCCCCCCCCCCAGTTTACACCACTGAGCAACAGCCTTGATTAGGGGATAATAATTTTGAATGAATACTCAGTTTTTCCCCAAATATTAAGTTTCAGTTCCTGTTTAATTATCCCGGACAACAACATGAAACTACAATTAACCTTGGGATCCTTAAAGCGTGTCCGCGTCATTCATAACTCTATTAATTATAAAAGGTAAATATTTCCCTTTCGATCATATCTACTCCCTCCCTTCTCTCTCTGTCTCTCCCTATTTCTCTCTTACTCTCTCTCTCTCTCTCCCCCCCTCCCTCTGACTTCCTCTCTCTCTATTTCTATTTCGTTCCTCTCTAAAACATTCACACATTTTATTATGAACCAAAGGGGAATTTGATTTAAGCGTTATTTTCACCGTGGAATAAAATTCTGTGCAGTACAAATACATGGCAGGTTCGCATGTATCATCTCACAAAATAGCCAAGGGCCATTTTCGTAATATAATCAGAATTCAAATTGCATTAATTAGTTGTTGCTAAGTAGGACAAACATTATCGCTTGCCCTACCTAACACCACGTAATGTATACAATTTGCAATCTGACTATTGAAATACAATTATTCGCACCAGGTGAATGAAATAATTTGTAACGAGGCACTCAACAAAGATTTACGCATTAAATTTGATAAATGGAAACTGTTCTGTCATTTTTAGCATACTACTAATACCTGTATGGGATATACATGTATGATATCATTAAAGTGCCACTTGCATTTGCATGTACTACTAGAATATAATTGTTTGGATCAGTTTCTGTTTCATTGCCATTAATTATGTTCTTAGATTTAATGAGAAGCTCCGATAACAAGATAATTCTATAAGTATCTTATATATTTCTCTCCCCCGGCCAGCTCTGGTCACCTCTTCCCTTTTCAATTAAAACTTAAAAATACACTGACTATGCATCTGGGGGAATTATCTTTATCTGAAGTACGACCGACTTGAAATAGTTATGATCCTCGTTCCTGGTTTAATTTATCGGGAATTCTTCTATGAAATTCAAACTTAACGACATATTGGACATCCATCCACATGACCGATTCAATTCGCTCATACTCTCAAATCAAAGTTACAAAACACTTGGTTTCATTTTATGCCCTTTTATTTCACCGGTGATCACAAAAATATATGATAAATTTGATACTATAGTGATGGAAAGCTACGATGAAATAAACAAACCATGGAATGCAAATTTACGTCATTACTTTGAATATGATTCATATACATTTGTACTACTATACAGGACTACATTGAAAGCATACACGAAGAGTGTTATATGATAATCAATATATCTTACAAGATGAAAGGGGAGCGTACGTATGTTTACAGCAATGTATCCACAAATTGACAAACGCACCAACAGTGGAATGTGCATGGGCTGCCTCGATCATGTTCTGGGGGGGGGGGGGGGGGGGACTATGCCCCCATCATACTGTTTTGCTTCCTTGTATTTGAATGGGTAAAATGAGAAAACTATTTTGAAGGGCAATTTGGTCTAATAAATACTTTATCACTTATTAAATAGTCATTAAAAGAACTCTTAGAGACAAAAATGAATCAATATTTGAATCGCAGTATCACATACAATAAAAAAAGAGGAAAACTTAACCAATTTCTTTGAATAAGCATAAAATCATTTTGATTACCCCCCAATTGATTAAATATCTAAAATTCAACTGAATTTATCGACTTGCCAGCCAGGGTAAAAAATTGTGATAATCACAAATATACCTATGTTTCTTAAAGAGTGCCTTCTTTTTTCAGTATAACTTTATAATGGCACTGACAGTGTACAGCAACATCTACATTTGTTACAAATGTACATATTCTCCATACACAGTGATAACAATTTGTCAAAAGATACAATAATGTACTATTTATTTATAGTATCAGCGCATTATCTGGTTCCATGTTCTATGAAAGAGGGTTTCATTTTTATATGAAATGGTTCTATGTCTACTTTTAATCTCTATATTTTTATATTGTCATTCAGAGATATACGTCGCTATTCTCTGGCACCTTCTGGAATAAAAAAATTCACATTTTCTGCCCCCATCCATCAAGTTATCATGAAGGCAAAGCAGAACATTATTTACAAAAAAGACATCTTAAAAATGAAGAATACAAACATCTATTCAATCTATATGTTTATTTACAATGTTACTTAACTTAAAACATATACCTTTTTCCATTAAGAATCCATGATTCCAAATAGGTTTCTTTGTTAAAAATAGTATGTACATCATCTTAAAAATATCAAGAGGGTAGTTCTTACCTACATTACTTCATGGCAAGTTATATATACATTGCGATCATGTTCTCCTAATTCATGATATGTCGAAATAATTTGTCTAGATGCTAAATTCTCCAGTGTATATTTTGGTCGTACATGTATAGTATTCATATACCCCGTATGAAGATTCTAGGCTGCTGATTGGTCAACACTGCAGGCATGAAATTCACTACTGACCGCTGGGCAGTATAGGTAAAAATATTGACCGGGCATATAGTTCTACTTGCGCATACAATCCAAGGACGCATTGACTGCGCATGAAGTTAACAATGGATACGCACGGTTAGACAAACGCAATGCTCTTAGACTGCTAAATTACAATTGACGCTAAAAATAAATACACATTTGCAGGTACATTTGTTAAAATATCTCTCTTTCGGAATTGTACCTTGGGATGCGTTAAAAAAAAAAATATATTGACTGCTTATTTTTTTATCCATTACATAATTCTATATAAATTTCCTGCAAAAAATGTACTAATAAAAGATGAGTTTTGTATTCAACACAACCATTATTTATGGCCCATGTCATTCATTTCATTTGATCAGAAAACATTTAAAATCTAATGTATCGTAATTGCACTTTTGTGCATATAAAAAATAGGTGAAACTCTTAATAGTCTATGAAGTAAAGGTATTTCAGATGATTGACACAATGTTTGATAAGACACATAAAAACTAAAGTAAAATATAAAAATATAAGGAGTTGTCATATTCATATTCATTTAAGGGAGATTCTGTCTTCCAATGTATTCCATACGACATACATGTACATTAAACACTGTTATACACGACTTCCTCCTAAAACTAAAATGTCTTGATATGACCACGGACTATAAATAGCTCTACCTGGCATCACAAATATCATTATGTGGTCATATCACGATATTTTTCATTTAAACATGAAATAAATGTAAAAAAGGACATATATCAGACAGAAAACATTGCAAAGAATTGGCCAATCTGATTTATATATATATATATATAGAAGTATGCCTGTATAGAAAGACTTGCAATATCACTGTAAGCTATACAACATGGAAATGGAATCATATTTTCTTTCAGTCTTGATATTTTGAGCCCGGCCCACATGCTGAGGGGAAGTATTGTCTGTTCGGAGCCAGAAGGGTGTTAACTCATATACTTTAACACAGAGTTAACACCCTACTGGCTCTAAAGAGACGATATAAGAAGATATGTCACATCGATTAACATACACATTGTATGGTCACCTGCTGCTGATGGCAAAGAGGATGTAGTAATTGTCTTTCTACACATCTAAAGAGATGGTATAAGAAGATATGTCACATTGATTAACATACACATTGTATGGTCACCTTCTGCTGATGGCAAAGAGGATGTAGTAATTGTCTTTCTACACATCTAAAGAGATGATATAAGAAGATATGTCACATTGATTTACATACACATTGCATTGTCAGCTTTAACCCGTTGACCACTGACTTGTATTTGTCCCATAGGCTTAACACAGGGACCCCCAGGTTCCTGTAAGCAAAGGGTTAAACAAATTTATTGTAAATGCGCACCTATGTACAGTGTCATCATGTGAACCATTACATATTTTGTAGCATCTTTCCGCATACACTGACCTACCTGCTTTTAAATTTTATATGACGCAATGATTCAAATATCTGAATATCATAATTTTCCTTTTATAATTGTTTTTTCACAGCAAACTGTACAACACTTCTCTATTTCACAGCCATGTAAACAAATTAACACGTTCCGTTGATGGCACAGAGGATGTAGTAATTGTCTTTCTACACTGACAGCAAACTGTACAACATTTCTCTACTATATAGCCATATAACAAATTTATACATTTGGCTCCGTCAACCACAAATAAGACGTCATCTCTGCATTAAAGTGTAAATTTAAAGCCTTGCTGACTCCCAACAGACTCTGTTTCCTTTACATGCAATGCTGATGCCATGTAATGTCACTAAATTTGATCTGATTATTTGGCAAAACATCAATAGAACTAATTGACCACTTGTTACGCTATACAAACAAGGAAATAGTGGAATATTATCGACAAACAATGTCACAGCAAATTCTATTGTACATGAACAGAAAGAACAAAAATTGCAGACACATGCTGTACATAATTGTGCCTTTCATGAACACAAAAGCAATTTAATTGTACTCACTAATCACTATTTTTATGTACAAATTGGCTTTTTTTGAATAAAATGAAGTAATTTTCAGTCATATTTGTTCATTTCATATACATTTATAATTTTTGAAGCATGTAGGAGTTTAATATAAGAACAATTGGTACCAATTGGAGGAGAGAAAAGTGATTTCCTTAGATCTTTAAATACTGAGAAACTGCTATGGGTTAACGCGTCTTCTTTTCCCCATGCGTAACAACCATCGGAAGCAATATAAAGACACATACTTGGTACTATACATCTACTTTATGTACATTACATGTATGCAATTTACATTTTGACATATATTTGCATTGCAATTGTACACCATAAATCATTTAAAACTTAAATTTCTGATGTCTCTTTTTTTACTTTGATTACAAAAGAAGTTGATGTTTCAAATCTTTGCACCTGGAGGAAAATTCATTAAAAATCTATTTTCAAGCTGCAAAAACGTTTTTATAATATTTTTTGTTACTGTACAAATCATACAGCACCTTTATAACTATCTTTGATCAAATATACATAATAGATAAAACAAAGCTAACTTCCTTTTCGGATAAACCAATCCATTTGCAATTGCAAGAAAACATCCTTTCAACAATTTTCACATCTCTGTGATAATTGTTTGATTTCATTAACAGGACAGCTTCTCGTTTAAATTCAAGGAATGCATCAAACGGCCAAAATGCATTTCAAGGCAAGATTATAATCAAGAAAGTTTTAGAATTCTTGACGGACAAAAAATATACTTGCATTTCCTGAAGTCTGGGCAATTTTAGATTTTAAAGGGGACAATAATTTATGAATTTCATGCATCAAACAATTTTTCACTTTTGATGCTTATAGCATGGAATTATTTCAAGACAAGAAGATGTCCATTTCTGCATGTGATACATTACACACAGGGCACAAAGGGTACTGTCTCATTGAACATTACTTATGATTGGTCACCTGCTGCATGTTGGGTGAAGGCTTGTTTGTATCAAGGCTCCTGATTGGCTGCTTCACTTTCCTTGAAGATGGTCTCCTTGCAGTCTTGCAAAAACCTGAGGGGAAAAAAGAGGAGGGAAAAAAGAAGAGGAAAAGGGAAGAAAATGTTAGCTTTAGAAACTGTCATGAAATATAAATACAAAATGGAAATAGTTTACTCTTCATGGAGAACCTGAACAGTTAGAAAATGAAAATAGGAAGAAACCTCAGAGCTTCAGATATTGTCATGAAGTACAAATAAAAAAGGAAATGGTTTAATTTTTCAAGAAGAACCTGGAAAGTAGAGGACAACATTGAGGAAAATTTGATCATTAGAAACTTCCCTGGAGTACAAAGGTAAAAAAAATTACTTTTAATTAAGGACAGAAAATTTGAAGAGAGGTGAATAGAATTTCATTAAACTTCAAAAGTAATTACTCATTCTAACTTGAACTGTTTCTTAATTCTGTACCCTGCATTAATGGATGTATCTATGCGGCATTGTTCACGAAGTGTACACATGTCGAAAGACATGAAAATATGAAGTACTCAGTTCTGCAAACATAACAAATACAAATTATGTAAATACAGTGCATGCATTGAAGTGTTTCGCATTACTGGTTACAAAGTCCAATTACAATCTGTGTGCCACTTAGAATTATCTACTGGTACTTTTCAAACAGTGTGCCACTTAGAATTATCTACTGGGTACTTCTCATAAAACAATGTTGCCTCATATAACTTAAAAAATAGTATTAACCAAGAATGTTGATGACTAAGCAGGGGGGGGGGTACAAGGACTTTACAGACAACTTTGTTAAGTGAAGTTGCATCTCCTTGTTAGTATAGGGTAACATGCAAAGTTCCCAAAGTTAAAATAACATGAATATCAACTAAATACATAATTCTGACAGAACAATATTTTGTTTGACAGTTAAATAGTTCATCAAGTGTCCTTGACACATGCAAGAATCTACTGCAAATAACTTCACAATAATACATCATTGTGAGTATAGGGTAAGTATAGGGTAACATGCAAAGTTCCCAAAGTTAAAATAACATGAATATCAACTAAATACATAATTCTGACAGAACAATATTTTGTTTGACATTCAAATAGTTCATCAAGTGTCCTTGACACATGCAAGAATCTACTGCAAATAACTTCACAATGATACATCATAATTTCTAACAAGGAAATACAACTACCATTATTAAACAAGATTGTCTGATTAGTCTTGTACCCCTAACAAATGAAAATAAAAGGGCAAGGAAAAGAATAATTAAAATAAAATAAATCATCAAGTTTTAAAGTAAACTAGTTCTGCTTACTACCAGCTGTACATCTTTTCCTACTACCGTAGTTACCCCCCCCCCCCCCCTCCCCACCCACACACTGAGTTTGTTTAATTTACAGGCTCTCGAAACCTAGCTAAACAATAACCTTTTCGAAACCCTGCAGAAATACACCTCACACAAGAACCATACCAGTATCAGCAGAACTGTGTAAAAACAAATAAGGGGACCAGCCCAAACGATCGTTTGGCAAACGTTGGCATCTGGCCAAACCGGATATTATCTGAACCAGGTGATCTCCAGTTATATTTCATTTCAGGAAGTGTTCACATTAATTCGAATTTGTGTTTTGATTTCAATGGTCCTTCTACAATAACCTTTCACACTCGCAATTCAGATGCTAAATACTGTGTAAAGACACACCAAATATGCACGATGTGAAGCCTATTTGGAATGATAATTATCATTAAGACTATTAATAGGACAAAAATGCAACTATTACTCTCTCAGTTATTATAGGACCTTTTTTGCCCGAATGATGATGAATTCTTAACTTACAAATGGTTGTTGCCAAAGTACTATGTATATGTTTAGAAATATCAAAGTAAATTCCCCCATATTGAGGGTTTTAAGGCTCAGTTGAACAACTTCTGCATTTCAAAAAATGGAGAATCTATGCTGCATTGTATAATTCCGTAAATAGCTGGGGGGGGGGGGGGGGTTGTTTTTTTTTTTTTGGGGGGGGGGTGTTGCCTCTGTAATTTTGTTATTTTATATTTGATATATAAAGATTTGAAGAAAAAAAATTAAGTACACCATTATTTGTGAGATCTGAAACTTGAACAGACACACAGTGAGGACTTGTGTTTGAGACTTGTTCATGAAACGTACATCACAACGCTGACTTTCTCCCATATGAACACCCTTTTATTGAAATCGAGTGTTCCTCCCAACTGACAACACAATGATTAATCTGTCTTAAACTCTCAATAACGGCTCAGGGACAGGAAAATTACACTTGATGCATTCTGACTTCATTACTAGTGCACTTTAAAAGGGACAAGTTTTCAGATGCGGCCAATTTAATAAAAACATTTTATTACCAGTGATTAATATCTTTGAAATTCACATGCTCTGATTATAAAAATGGTCCCCATCATATTGACCCTACATGGAACATTACAAAAAAATCTGCTAGGGGATGAGTTCTATTTATCATTTATTCTATTTATTTAATGATATATTACTCATCATCCTGCCAACTTAAGAATCACAGTTCATTAATAGTGATTAATGATTAATGATTAATGGCTGATAAAAAACAAGAAGAACAACAACAACAAAAAGAAGAACAAGAACAAGAACAAGAAGAACAAGAACAAGGAGAAGAAGAAGAAGCAGAAGAAGAAGAAAAAGAAGGAGAAGAACAAAGAAGAAGTAGAAGAAGAAACAGAAGAAGAAGAAAAAGAAGGAGAAGAACAAGAAGAAGAAAAACAACGACAAGAGGAAGGAGAAGAAGAAAAAGCTCACCTTAGGTCTCTCCTTCTTCTTCACGATCGCCAAATCACGCGGTGACTGCTTCTCCAAGTTCTTGAGGTCGATGTCGGCCCCGAAGCTCATCAGGTGGTCGATGACCTTCACCACGTGGTCCTCGTCGAAGTCGCGGCCAGCGATGACATGAAGCGGAGTGTTACCGGCATAGTTTGCTATCTTCAGCAGGTGCCTGGCGTCGACTCCGGGACATTCCAGCATCATCTTGATGATGTGGGTGTTGGCTGCCACCCGGTCGCTCGGTGGAAGCTCGACGGCAAAGTGGAGCGCCGTGTAACCGCTTTTCCTGTCCTGCAATGACATGGCATTTATACATGAAGGTGAGTAATAATGATAATAATACATTTATAGAGCGCAGAAACTATCCAACATGAAGTATATATTCTACTGCACTACAAGAGCTCCTGATATGCTTAGATTTGCAGTTAATTGGAAAAATGTGCTTTCAGTACTGGTTACGTGGTTACATGATTGCAAAACGAGAGATCTGTCTACAATTGCTCATTCAGATACGGCACTGCAAAAAAATTTGTAAATGTTTTAGCACCCATGGAACACCGAACACACAGACCAAAATAACTTTGTTGTGATTGGTACTCTTTAAAAGCACGGCAATGGTGAAAAATAATAATAATAATAACAATAAGAATAATATGTCTTGTTTACCTAGGGTAGCCTCATCAGCATTCATACTGTTCTCCCTGAGGGCCCTGCAATCATATTATTACCCTGGTCATCGGATTCAGGCTCACCCGCACACAATGTATGCACATTCTCCACTCCCTGGGGAGCATTCCAGCCAGGTATATATTTTACTGACTAATTTACTCACCAGGAAGGAAGGGTCAGCGCCGAGATGGAGCAGGTTCCTGATGGAGTCCAGACTGTCCACCATCTTATCCACATACATGCACCTAGTCCCGTCATAGACACGCGCAAGACGACCATGGGCCTGGATGGCACACTGAAGCGGTGACATGCCTGAACAGGAGGAGATAATAATAATATTAATAGTGGGTTCTTGTCACTATGAACATGACGGACAAAGAAAGAGGACAAAATATACAGTTCCTCATTGTACCCTTTAACAATTGCTGTGGTAGACAAAGGAACATCCCTTCACTGCTATTATGTAAAAATGTGTAGAACAGGTGAATATGCATGTGACACCTGTTCTATTTTTTTTACATAATAGCAGTGAAGGGATGTTCCTTTGTCTACCGCAGCAATTGTTGAGGGTAGAATGAGGAACTGTATATTTTGTCCTCTTTCTTTGTCCGTCATGTTCATAGTGTGTATAGCGCTCATGTCTGTCAGACTTGACACTCCTGGCGCTTCCGACTATTACCCTGGCTTTAGCACGGCTGACATTAAATCGCTCTAGCATTTCAAGGAATTAGTTCCTGCCAGGTACTTATTTACATCACCTGGGCTGAGTGTGGCAAATGTAGATCAATGTCTTGCTAAAGGACATTAATGCCGTGGCGGGACTCAAACCGCGAACCTTGTGATCGACAGTCTGGCGACATATCCACTCGACCATGACACCTCCATAAGGACCAACTGCCTAGATAAAGACCACTTTTCTTATCTCCCATGATTTGCCTTTATACACAGGTTTCACTGTACGTTAATAATAACAGTAGGCATTTCTATAGCACCGTCCATCTCAAAATTTCAAGGAATTTAATTCCTGCCAGGTACCCATTTACCTCACCTCGGTCGAGTGTGGCAAATGAAGACTAATGCCTTGCCAAAGCAATGATACATGGACTCACCGTTCTTATCCTCCACATCGATCTCAATGTTGGCGACCATGTTCTGGCAGACGCAGTATCCGATAGCCCGCAGAGCCAAGGAGAAGCCCTTGATGGCGGCGTAGTGAAGCACGGTTTGCTGCTCCTTGTTTGGAATCATGAGGTCCGCTCCGGCCTTGAGAAGATAGACGATCAGGTCCGGCTGGTTCGTCACCATGCAGATGTGAAGAGGTGTCTGCATGGATGGGATTATAATAATAATAAAATAGTAATAATGATGATGCTGATGATGATGATGATGATGCTGATGATGATGATCCTGATGATTATAGTGATGATGATGATGATGATGATGATGCTGATGATTATAGTGATAATGATGATGATGATGATGATGATAATGATGATGATGATGATGATGCTGATGATTATAGTGATGATGATGATGATGCAGATGTGAAGAGGTGTCTGCATGGATGGGAGTATAATAAAAAATAAAATGGTAATAATAATGATGCTAGAGTGCCGCAATGGCAGCACAGCTAAAGCTGGGGTAACAAACTCTAGGTTTGGATGCGCTTAGTGATTCTAATAAGGGCTGTATAAAAACTGAGTATTAGTATTATTATGATGATGATTATAGTGATGATTATGGTGATTATGGTTCCCTAAAAAGGATGGATCTTCAAATGCCTTAAATGTTCTAAATATGGCATGCAACATCATAAAAATCGGAAAGATTTTTATGCCACGTGTTCGTGAAGTCCCGTATACATCTCTCTGTGTACAATGCTTCTAACTTTACCAAGACTGGGCCAAATTTCTCATCATTTGGATGATTCCAGAACCTTGCAGTATATATATCAATACTTATATGCTAGATGATCAACCTTTTCTGATCGATTCCATAACGTTTCTTTCACAAAGCAATCGCATGACCAGAACTCAACTTTATCTTTAACAATTAACACAATAGTGTCTGCTTTTTGGGGGCTTTAGAGTGCAATTAATTCAAATACCTGTCCGATGTTGTCCCTGAGATTGAGGGCGTCCTTCCTCCCGCTCTTCAACAGACGATTCACGATGGCATGAACAAGCGGGATATTACCCTGGCTGATAGATATGTGAAGAGCGCTGTTCAATGAAACAAATAAAAACAAATGATAATTAATAATAATAATTCCGCTTTTATATAGCGCTTAATACATACATCTATGATGTCTCTAAGAGCTTGACAGATATGCTATTACCAGTGAAAAAAAAAATACACGGGGGCTCGGGGCGAATTAGCCCCCGAAATGCCCAAAAGAGCCCCCGAAAATCAGAAAAGAGCCCCCATAAATTTGCACAGAGTTCAATGCAAAACAAATTTTAGAATGTTATATTCATGCAGGCAAGCTTTAAAAGTAGCCCCCGAAAAATAAATATTAATTTTTTCCCTGGCTATTACCCCGATCATTGGATTCAATACTTGCTCGCATACACTGTGGCACAATCTCCACTCCCTAGGGAGCATTCCAGCCAGGCATTACTTGACGCTCAAAAGATGTTGGACCAACAATGACGGTCGCATCCTACTGGGTACCCAGTTAACACCTGGGTGGAGAGTAGCAAGTGCAGGTAAATATCTTGCCAAAGGATATTAGTGGTTCTTGTATAGCGCTTGTGTCTGTCAGATATGGGACTCCTAGCGCTTTACAATTCCTATCCCGGCTTTAATAAGCGTGGCTGCCATTATGGCACTCTAGCATTTCAATGAATTAACTCCTGCAAGGTACCCATTTATCTCACCTGGGTGGAGTGTGGCAAATGCAGATAAATGTCTTGCCAAAGAATATTAGTACCGCACACCTATACCTAAAGTCAGAGTCACTACCAAAGTATTTTAGCACCAGCATTGTCTGTCCAAGATCTTGCAGTAATTGTTGATCCCTCAAATTGACTGCTATTGTTTAATAGCTTTTTGTTATGGGCCTCAGATCACTACATATTATCCTTATATGAATGATGATCTACTTGTACATCAGGGGCCCTTTCACCAAACACCGCTTTGTTTCTTACATTTGGGACTCAAAACAGATAGTGTGAGTTTCAGTAACACAACAATCTGGGTAAAAGCAATTTGTAAAAACACCAATCAACATACTTTAATTCACCTAAAGCTGTCCTTCTTGACGAAACATAAGAAACTATTGGTCAAGTAAGCTCTTGGTTTACTTGATATTGGTTTAGTGATCGCTAGGTCAGGCAAGGGTATTACTTACGTGTCTCCTTCTTCATCCAAGGAGCACAGGACATCCAGAGGCATATTGTTGACCAGATTCTCAAGGTTGCGGTTCTGGTCTTGAGGGGTTGGTGGCGGGGTGATCACTTGCATCTGGTTCGGTCCTGGATAAACAGGTGGCTGCCTCACCATCCCTTGATTCTGGTTCACAGGGTACTGCTGGACGTACCTGGCATTAACGGGCTGGATGTAAGTTTTCCGCTCAAACTCTTGAGATGAGTCCATGAGCTGATCTTTGATATGCTTAATGCTCTGTTGTGCCACTTCTTCCTGGGAGGGCTGTTGTTGCTGCTGTTGCTGCTGTTGCTGGTGTTGCTGGTGTTGCTGGTGTTGTGTCCGGTTCTGGATGTACTGCATGTTCTCTACAGGAATCGGATTCTCCACATAGGGGCGATGGCTGTTGTCGATGACCATACCACTGTTGGTTCCTGAAGGCGATGTGCAGCTGTAGACGTTGTGAGGTGGTGAGCAGATTCCGGAGTCCTCGCTCTGGACACTGGGAGGGGAATTGATCATGACCATCATCTCCGGGGAGTGGGGTGAGTTAGGCGAGGTGGACATACCATGGTAGCCATCCCCTGGTGACATCATGGACTGCGGGGACGGCTGAGTCTGCGCTGGTGAGTAGGCGGGCGAGTAGGCTGGGGAGTAGGCCGGCGATGGTGTCTGCTGCATCGTATGAGCAGGACTGAGAGAAGACACACTACCTGGAGAACTAGGGTAGGAGCTGTCTGTTGGAGATGGAGGCCAGCAGGATTCCTCTGGGTCTTTCTTGGAGACAACGGGCTGGTTCGCGTAAAGGTTCTGCATGGTACGTCCATCTGAAAGTTTGATCTGCTGCTCAGACGGCATACCAGGAACCATGACTTTCTTGCCCGAAGAGCTGATGTAGGCCTGATAAGGAGGACAGGCCATCGAGCCAGGGTATACTGGCTGTACAGGAGAATATTGCTGTACATAAGCCATGCCAGGTTGATTCGATGGGTAAGGTTTGGTTCTCCCTTGGGCATGACCGGGACGATCAGAACGACCTTTTGAAGTCAAAGGGTTCCTCTCTTTCTCTTCCTCCATCCTTTTCCCGAAGGCATTTTTCTTCTCATCACTCACGTCCATCTGTGTCATCTTTGTGGCCAGGTTGTCAACAGTCGCATCCTCTTCAGGTATCCTAGGTGTCTTCACCATGTAGTGGTAAGTTGCCGGTGAGCTCTTCCTTCGTCTCATCTCACTCTCAAAGATCTGGCATATCTTCTCGTCCAGCTGGCCCTGATGGGGAATTCTGGCATGCTTCATCTTCTTCAAACCCAGGAGCTCCACGGAACTGGCTCTCGGTTTCTCCTTGTACTCCTTCCTCTTTACCTCGGCTGTCTTGTCCATCTGATCCTCATCGGGAACCCCATCACCATCACTGTTCTCCTCTGGACCTCTGTTGACTTGCTCCTTTGGCTTTACATCATTACCTTCACAACCGTCCTGCTCTTTCCCCTTAGCGCCATTCTCCATCCCAGCGGGGTGATCATCTGGCTTTTCATCTTGCTTGATCTCTTCTTTTGAAGCAGGAGAAGAGGTCTTGCACTCGCCATTCACCTGGCCATTCTTGTTTGGTGCCATGATGGTAGATTCCACTTTGATTGGTTTGTCTGGACAGCCAAAAAAAGAGAGAGAGAGAGGACAAAAAAGACAATAATAAATTGCACAGTCTAATAAGAATAATAATAATTATCCTTGCTTATATAGCACCTAACACTTACTTTATCAAAATCCTCTAAGCGCTCTACAATAATGCAGCATAATTACCCTGGCTTTAGCAGTGCAGCTGTTACGCGGGCTGCGTTTCAAGGAATAAATTCCTACCAGGTACCCATTTACTTCACCTGGGTGGAGTGTGCCAAATGTAGATCAATGTATTGCCAAAGGAAATTAGTCTAAAGGTGTTAGGAAATAAGCTCCAGCAACATTTGCTCTAGAATTATTTTTATCAAAGATATAGGGGTAAGGATAGGACTAAGGTTCATTTTAGGAGAATTATAAATGAAATATTGTAGGACAGGTGTCCAAAGAGCAAAGACTTCATGTACATGTACATGTACAAGAGCATGGTCAGTCTAGAAGAACAGTTGCCCACAACTTATTCAATAAAGAAACACTGAGAGTTTGAGGTGGTCTGAAAGAGCTCTGCAAGGGCGCTATTTCATCAGAGACACATGTACAATACATGTGGAGTCATGGTTAGTGTTAGGGACGGGTTACAATAGAGTTTCAAATAAGGATTACATATCAAGTGGCTTTACATTAAGTTTAGTGTTATAGGTTGTAATAGGGTTAGGGTTAGGGTTTGTTAGGATTGTAATAGGGTTTTAAATTAGGTTTCGTATTAAGGTTGTAATAGGGTTTTACATTAGGTTTAGTGTTAGGGTTTGTTAGGATTGTAATAGGGTTTTAAATTAGGTTTAGTGATAGGAATGTAATAGGGTTTTACCAATTAAGGAGGTGAAAGAAAGGAGGCGAAACTCTTGAAATTTATTCAAACGCATTCGTCAGTTCCTAAGAGTAACAATGGGATGTGTAACATTCCACTTGGCTTTGAAGTTCCATGCTCCGAACCGCGCTTCCAGTGCGGGGACATTCGGAAGCCAGGCACCAGTTTTACATTTATTACAAAATATTTAATTACCGGCAAAATTTCAGTGTACATGTAAATCAAAAACTTTATATGGGGATTGTTTTGGGAATAGGGCATCAAACAAATTTTCAAATTTAGAACTCCGTCCTTCCTATAATTTGTGTGCCAGAGTTGGTAAAAGAAAAATTACATCCTGACAAAAACTCAATATTTTAGGATAATGCGCTAATTTGTGCATGTTTTAATGTCCCGTTATTTAATCCATGATTTACAATCTTCAATAACATTAAGTTTGCTAATGCATGTTTTTGCGTGTTTTTTGTATTTTTGAAGTTAAAAAATGGATGAAATTACACAAGTTTGTGTTTGCTTTTCTACTCTTTAAACATTCAACAATGGATGAGAAATCATTGAGAGGGACAGCGAACAGTTGCTGTGATATCAGTTTCTGATGTAGAAATTCTAAGTCCTGAAATTTCACGCGCTCTTTTATCTCACCACCTGGTCAACAGTTGCAGATTAGCGCATAACTTTTCAGCGGCGTGGAGCACGGGGTCAAAGGAGAGCGACTTGATTCCAGTCCTTCTCTATCACGTCCCTGGTTTTACATTAGGTTTAGTGTATCGCATGTTTCAGATTAGAGCTTCAAGCTACAGTGTCCATAATAATACAGAAATTTGAATTCCATAAAATGAAAAGGGTTGAAATTAAAGAGTGTAAAAATTTAACACAGAATAATTTGTTCCTGTACATGTACTGTACATGTGTACATGTATGTATGTGCAGTCAGTCAGTCTAGTAGAAGTACAGTTCACAGTTGCTGATTTTTGTTTACAATACAGAAACACAAACGAATATTTGACTGTGGTTATGTGCATGTAACGTGTCTCTAGTTTCCGTTTCCGTTTGTGTGTGAAAACTTCCTCATTTTCACATGTACATGTATTTGATTCAAACTAGCAGGTGGTTCTGCTAAATTTTGAAAACATGAGATTTCAAATGATTGCTACTTGAGTTAAAACTCCCAAACTCATGCTTTTAATGAACTAAAAGTCTATTAAAATACATGTAGCTACAGAATATTTAGTCATACACTCCTCAAATATAATGTGTTTGGACAGTACAGTCAGACCTGTGTAGTGACCAACTGTCTAAAAAGACCACGATATTTTCCCCTTTGAAAATAGTTTCTCATTGAAACGTGTACTAAAAGGAACCTGTACATGTACATCAAGACCACCTGCCTTTCAAGACCACTTTTCCTGTCTCCCTTGGGTGGTCTTTATAGACAGGTTTCACTGTATATGTACAATGTAGGTAGGCCTACGTGAAGCACTATATAGCTTGTACTTGCCTCATTACACATGTACATATGTAATTGAACCCTTGTCAAAATTGAATTTGTATGAAAGCATGCAGAATGTTTAAAATATGGGATCATCCAGCCACCTCTCTACAAAGACCACCTGCCTATAGTGGCCACCTAGAAAGAAACGTGAGTTGTAGAACCTGTCTAGAAAGGCTAGTTTACCTATGATGACCAGTTTTCCTGTTTCCCTTGGTTTGACCAGGGCATGTGAGTTAACACCTCCCTGGTTTGACTGTACAGTGTACATGCAAACATGTAAAATGTACAAATTTGTATACAAGCGGGGCTTAGCAGGGAGAACCCCTAATAAGGATTTTGAATACAAGTCATGCATAATAGCAACACTTGCATAAACACATGTGACTTAAAACCTTGTTCCCCTAACGTACATGTACCTACCTATAGTACAGTACAAAAGGGGAAATAAGTTTACAAGAGGCACTGCATCGTAATCAATTACCATGGTAGAATGAACACAGACAATCAGTAAACTGCAGTGTCCCTTTATGATGGGAGGAAGGAAATGGAAGGGGAAATCCAGTTCACAGTTTTCTCTCTGCTATTCAATCATAGAAAAAAAAGAGAAAAAGGGAAAATACCACAGGCAAGTCAACTCAAGTTGGAGTCTCTCATTGTTTATTTTCATACCCTGCTTCATTGTGTGAATAATCAGGGGCGGCCAGGGCAGGAGAGGGGGAAAGGTTTTTTTTTTTTTTTTTTTTTTTGGGGTGGCTGGGTTCAAAATAATGCCACTTACAAATGTAATTGTTTGATGAGAGGAACTTCATACATGTACAATCAGAGCTTAGCAATTATGATAAATCACTTAGTGTTTAGTGTCTAGGAAGTTAGTGAAGTACAGTACTCGAAAATGATGGAACAATACTCATAATTAAGCACGTTGACGTCATAAAATATGACCAGGCACTTATTGTTAGGGTCAAGAATCAACATAATAAAATTTTCAACTAACAAACAAAATCAGGCCATGTACATAAGTATATTTTCAAAAGAAATCTAGGTCACTATAACAACTTTTTTCAAAATCTTGAAATCTGACACCATGAAAATGATGTTTTTATTACAGATTTATTTTTAATCAATTATCCATCATCTTTAAAGACTTTTTATAGTTTTTGAACACAAATTAAACACAAACATGTCAAAACATGTCGAAAGGCTGGTTCATGTTCATGCCACAGTAAACCTAGCTGCCACAAAAACCCCGGAATTAAAGATAAAGTTGATCGAGTTCTGCATGGTTATGCAATTGCAGTGTGAAAGAAACGGTGTGGCATTGATCAGAAAAAGTGTAGTGTAGGCCTACAGTACTGCAAAGTTCTGAAATCATCAAAATGATAAGAAATTTGGCCCAGTCTTGGTAACAGTAACAAGCCTGTACACAGAAAGATGTATATGGGATCACACAAACATTTGACATAAAAATGTGGTCCACATTTTTAAGCTGTTACATGTCATATCAAAAATATGAAGGCATTTGAAGAGCCGTGCTTTTCAGGGAACCTTTTTTTATCTGATGTTCTTTTCTCTGTTTTTTCTTTTCCCAGAACTCAACCTCCTCTTTATAACTTTGTCACACATACATGTACGGTACAGTGTACATGTACATGTATGATATAATGCATACTTCTAACAATGTATTTCTACCAATGTGGAACTCCAGCGTTTCACTTCAAATTTAACAGTCATTCAATAGTGTCTGACAGCTAGTGAAGTCTAGAAAGTAAACAGTTTCCTTGCATAATTTGATATTAGGACACAGATAGGACATACGTGGCATATTCATCATTCCTGCAAAGTTCTACAGAATTTGATGTTGGCTGCAAATGGGACATACATGTAGGGCCTACGGTACTACCTTTAAAGTTCATATTTTGAAGTCAAATTTTGGTCCATTGGTACACTTTACGAGAGTACACAGTTCACACACAAGTCACTGCAAGGCTTTGTCTACGGGATCTCCCAAAATGACGATCAAACATTGAGTGTGAAACTGGGGTCTCCTCCTCGATGTCGACGGGGGAGTTCCTGTTTTTGTTTTCTGTCGGGGCTAAACTCAATAACCGCCATTTCCCTACCAGGCAGGAACACCTACAATGGTCTATGAATCATCTTCCTATACATTATATTGGCTGTTTAGAGACATGTTTTCAGAATACCCTGTACATGTTAGAGAGCTCATGTTTTATTCCATGTACATGTACATGTACACCTGTACTGTAAACAGTATAAAGTACCAACAAATAGAAAAGAAATGAATTCAATAAATGAATATAAAAATTGAGCCTGAATGTCTTCAAAATATCTATCTTTTCTCACTCTAATGCCTTCCTAAACAATCATTTATGAATTTTGTCTTACTTATTGATGTTCCTCTCTGGAAATTTTCTAGGTCATAACATGTTATGTAATTTTTGTTAAAGAAATAATGATGAAATCATGATTGATGAATAAGTTATTTCACAATAAAAGAAGGAGTTTGCGTCGGTTACTTTCTTAAAAAAATACAAAGAATCCTGTTACTTTGACTTTGTTTACTATTTCCTGCCATGAAATAAAACAAACAAACAAAAACAAAAGTACAGACTTTGAGCTATAGATTATTAGAGAAAATTAAGCTTTTTCAAGCCTGATGGTGAGTATTTTTTTCAAAAGAAAAGAATCTAAAATGATACAAGTTAAACATTTGTTGTTTCCTACACATTGATAGGAATTGTTGTATAATATCGTCTTTCTTTCTTTCATCCCTTATTTCTGTTCCTTTCTCTCTTTCTGCCATTCATTAATTAATTAATCAATTATTAATTTGACCAGTTTATTTTCATACATGTACTCACTGTGACTACAATTATTACAATTCTTATTTATTAATTTATTTGATACAGACCTCTCTATAAATTTTTCTTTGCAAATTAATTAATTAATTAAATTTATTATTATGTCTAGTTTTAATTGTACTCATGCTGTTGTTGTTGTGGGTCTGTTTCACACTGTAATGCTCCCCATAGTAGTCTTGTCAGTGGTTAAAGGAACATTTGACAAATGGGCCATGCACCAACATTTCCTACCTATACATGTACATGTACATGTATACTTGTACCGGTAGATATAAAAACAAACAAATCTTACATGTACTTGATGATGTATACAGCCTATAGAGATGTACATGAACAGAGTACACTAGTTGTTACACAAATCATGGTTTATCCAGACAGTAATTAAATCAAACAATCAACAGATATCATGGACATTCAGTTAAGAACTAAATTATTTATACGCTTACCAAGTTTTGTCACTCTTTAAGTACAGGTACTGTATGTGAAATATTGATATTTTCTGATTTTACCGTTTGTTTCTTGAGAATCATAGTTACATTTAAATCATGTATTTCGACAAAGGCCCTAATCCAACTCGTCTAACCTTCATTATTGAGTTACAAAAAAAACTATCACAAAAACATTATCAAATTTACAAGCGGTATGATCAGATGATAAATAAATAACTATTTGGTTGTTAACTTTAGTCTGTACATGCAGTGTTCATGTACATGTAGACTTACTTAATTTTTATTTCTTCTTCTTCTTCTTCTTCTTCAAAATAATCTGCCTCCTTCACTGCTGAAGATTCTTGCAGATGTGTGCGAGTGCATGTACATTCTAAATTCTACTCCAGACTACCGGTAGACTAGTAATATTTCACCTCATTTTGAAATTTGAGGCTCTGAACTCTGAACTTTGAAGTGCATTTACAATCCAAACATGTCATTACTCATTAGTTATCTTTTGTTGAAAATGACACAACAGCATTTTCAATCCGTTACAGCATAAATATATATATACCGGTACCATCAGCAGGCATTCTCCATCATACACATTTACATGTATACATGCGTCAACAAAACGGCTTTTCAGTGCACATCCACACAGTGTACAAGCAATACAGGAACAGTACATTACTACATGCACACAATTTATATAACGTACCTTGCAATGCCGTCTTGATGGCTGTTGATTTCAATGTCGACGACGAATTTGTTCCACCTATATCCACGGAAATTAGACTAGTAACGTCTTCCAAACCACGATCTTTGGTCCGAGAATTATCAATGCCACCAATTGATGGCATGTTTGCGTCACCACGTCGACGAAAATAGAATCAAATTCCAAGGAAATCGTTGTAGAGGGAGGTCGAAATTTGGCGTGCCTACTTCACAATGGTATCGTACTATAAGTGAACAAGAGCAGTTATGAATTATGCATGAGTTGTGTCCAGTGATTTGGGGATTCTAATCGCTGATTGGTTAGTTCTGCAGATAGGTGCTCAGACGGGAACGAGAAGGGAATTTCCCTTTGCGTTAAGCATGACGTAATGGTAAAGAAAATGAAGCCAGAACACAGTGAGCGGGAGTTTCTGATGATTTTCCCCGTAAAGACATTAAAATCGGCGGAATGGCTGAATGATAATTAGGTAGTGTGAGATAGCAGAAATTTTAATCTGTTTGATCAAAATACACGCGTTTACCACTCTTTGTTTTCAGACTTATGTTGTTTTTCTTCCACTGACCTTTTATTCTCATTATATAATTATAATGCTTTCGTTAATCGTTCCGACTTATCACGATTTCAGATACACATCGTCAAACCAATTAGGCCTATCAATCTTCACAACTTGTCACCCATATGATATGAAACTTCTTGGCAAACATGCGTCTGTACTCGTAATATTTCCATTGATGTCGACCTCACAATAAGTGTATAATCAGTCGACAAACTCTTTGAAAATTAAGGGCTATCTACATTCCAAGAAAAGGATTTTAGAACAACTTCCCTCAAACATGGTCTCAAAGATCAACCGAAAAATCAAGTTATGTTAATTTTAGGAACGTCCGTCACTCATTGGAATGTGTATTGCGAAACCCAAACATGACACGAAAGGGTGTTTTTTTTCTGTAGTGTCAACAAGGGTTTTCTTTTTCCCTGATTGCATAATGCATAGGTACCTTCAACCAGGGTATGTATCACCAAAACGGGTATTGAAAAAGTCTACCCCTTTAATTGATCTGTCGGGAGTCTGCGCGATTAATCGAGATGAGCCTCATGTATTTATTTATTTATTTCTAATCTTTTGTCAGGGTAGCTCATTCACCAATAAGTAGTGGTCTTCCATGGTGCCCTGAATAAACATGAACATATTTACATCAAAAAGCAAAACGTTTATACAGAACAATTAAATAAAATTCTATAGTACATTTAAAAGATATGACACAGCAATAATAGACGTGGCAAAAATAATACTGGTTTGCAAAATAAACACATATCATTAACCTAGTTCAACAGTAATGTCAATAGGAAAATATTGATTAAGTATTAAATATTGATTTCCCTCATTGTCGGTCGTAGTGCGTAACATAGTGTCTGATCCGAGACTATGCCGAATATACGGTCTAGTGCATCCCATATACTCGGTACTTAAGCTGCTCTCATTGACGGAGGAAGGCCAAAGCCAGAGCTAGGCTCTGCTTCTAGACTTTGCAGAATTATGTGTAAGTGTCAGTTTAGAGTCTGTGCCTGCAGACTAAGGCATATGGATGAATGCTTCATCTACACAGAACAATGCTATAGTCCCCTAGCCGACAAATTATTCGAGAAGAGGGAATATTTTCTTCAGGTTCTATCCGGTGATCTCCTATCGATCGCACACCCACCCGTGCATGAGATGCACGCCAACATCCATGTCGTCACCATGGTTACCAGCTAATTGCGTCGTTGTGGGGAATATCAAGTTTTTGATTATTATTCTTGATAAAACTATTCAGTGGCGTAAGTATTTGAGCGGACGGAGGGGAGGAGAGGGGATTTAAAGTTAAGGGGTTAAGAGTGAAGTGATAACCACTGGTGATAACAATAACGGAATTGAATGGATCACTTATTTTGTATAATTTCAATAAAAGATTTGGGGAAACTGATGGGACTTGCTAATGTATTCCCACATGCGTCGCTACCTACACACCAATAACACAAAAGACCATAGACACAAGGTGCGAAGGACAAAGCCAAACGCTATTGATACCAATATGGCAACAACAGATCAATGACCTTGTAAATCGCACAGGTCACAACAATACGTAGGGTTACATTTGGGGAATTCCCTTTTCTTAGCATAGTAGGACTACGGTCTATAGACTTCCCCTTCCTTTTCCCAAGTCTCACAAATAGTTTGCTGGTACCACCCCTCGCCAAGTTGTCAGCTATTGTGTAATTAAGGTCTGAACTACTGGACTTTAGAATCATAAGCTTACATGATATCTAGCTGATAACTAAATAATATCTAAAGCCTCGGTCACAAATGCCATTACGAACTGCTACGAACACCGTAAGAACGATTTTCAGACAATGGAAAAAACAGGGAGATTCGAACGAAAATTTGTGACCGTAGCATAACTGATCTTGAGATAATCACAGCATTGGTTGGATGGATTTAGAGTCCGGTTATTATTTGTAAATCATAATTAAGGTGCAGTTTCATTTTTCAAAAAGTCTACCTTCACCAGACTATGTCGAACTGACATTGAATACACGGCGTAGATGGCGCTATTCCACAATCATTTGATCTTATCTTTAATTACGCTATCATGATGACAATCATCGTGATCATCTCATGTTGAAATATCAAATTTAAAATTATGACATATCCACTTATATGTTATTATTCTATTTTGCATTGGTAGGAATATTGTAACCGCGTATTAACCGTTTTTGATTAATTATATTAGAACTTCGCTATTTAAAAACGGGTAAAAAAAAACTAAATGTCAGAATGGACAGTTTATACTAAAAAGGCAATCGCCGAACCATTATCATCATGATTGTTTGAAATATGAGATGAATAAATAATTGCGAATCTCAAATTGGCAAATTAGGTCAGTGGGTTGTAGTAGAAGTAGTAGTAGTAGTAGTATTTATTTATGTATAAAACATGGTAACAATGCATGAGGTACGGTGGATTACTCACATTCAGCTTACCCGACATGGGAAAGCTGGTCTTCCGTGGGGCCCGGAACAATTACATAAACAAAACAGAACATAAATACATATCTGAACAACAGTAAACACATTTTGAGGGAAAAAAAAAAAAAAAAACATTTCAGAAAAACACGTAATCATAACAAGATTACGGGTACAAAGACAACTCTCCCGTTTGTCGTGTACAAACATATCATTAATTTTTTTTTCTTAAGTGTTTTCTCCCTTGTGGCACTAATTAAAAATAGTATGGATAGCATATTATTATAGGTCGTTTAAAAAGAAAAGATCATGAGTCAAATACATTGGCCTCATTAACTCGCATGCCATCATACTATACTAAGTACATGGCCACCATAACAGCCTCAGAATCGCGTTGATCCTTCAATTGTTATTGTGTGTTACTATTATTATTTACTACTATTTTGGCAACTATAAGTTATAGGGGGCTGCAATTTACAAGCCCAGCTTTTCAGCAGTCCCATCCATGACCAACCTGTTTTATATGCCTGTTGTACACTGTGGACCAATTACAAATATATTGTTAAGTTTCATTGTTTTCCTATACATGTACATTGCAATCCCATGTACTTTATTTTATTTTATTGGAAATAAGCGAAATGAAATGAAAAAAATGTTATGGAAATTACAGATCAATGACATCCTGAATCTCAATGATACCGGGCCAATTTGTTTAGTGGTATTTAAATCTAAATCAAACCTAATTTCCTTTCTTTATAGCCTCAAAATTTGATTATTCTGCTAAATTTCCTACTTTTAATGCTTTATCGAACTCAACCTGAAATTAGGTTGAACTTCTCCCTTTCAGATTCTTGCCTCTTTTTCACATTAAAGGCATCGTTTAACAATGTTAAATCTGAGATGCATGGCCGAACGTGTTATGAGTGTCTGTGATATGGTGTGATATTGAAGCCCTAAACAAAATTGCGCTTCAAAATGATCTTGAAGTGCCTCATGAAGTAAAAATCGTTTCCCCCAATAGACTGTAATGCTATAAAAACTGTTAGGAAAACGAATTTTTAAATTTCGATTTCCAGTCTTAAATATCTTGATAATCGGACAGGCGATCGGCTATTGTAAATGTCATGGGGTTCCTGACTAAACTAAAGATTTATAATTATCATTGCAGCATGAGCTAAAAAAATCAGGATTTCGTTTCAGAATCTGAGACAAAGTTACCAAATCACTTTAATACTTTTGATTGCTTCGTTGCCTTTCAGCCACTAGCGGATTTGAAGGAGGGGAAAGGGGGCTATTTGCCCCCTCCTGACGGATTAGAGACCAGAGAAAGAGAGACAGAAAAAGACTGTTATCACTTCTGTATAAAAGTATAGTTAGCATATTGAGGGAATCTTTTGAGAGCCAAGATTGCACATGGAAAGCACAAAATAATTAAGTACATATTCTCTCCAGACTCTTTCCCAAATAGTCAGTTTAGTAACCCCTGCCTCCTCTACAATGCATACAATTACATAAGTTGTTTATTTCAATAAGCAATATGAATTACAGCTCCAAAGTAAGAAGACATGTGTCGCCCCTCCTGAGGCGAAGGCCTGGATACGCCACCCCTTCAGTCTTTAGTTATGTAGAAACCAAAGCTGATAAAGAAAATGCATATGCAGTGAGAATACTTATAAACTTGATATTTCATGCGTCACAATGGTCCACCAGTCAGATGAATCGCTTTGTGATTTAATATAAACATGATCAAATTGAAAGTACAGTACTGTGTGGCAGGTTGGCAGTAGTCTGATTCGAAGGCAGAGTAAAGTTTTGGCGTCATCAAATATTTGTTTTTAAAACCTTATAAATGTATGTTTTATTCCGATGCGCCCCTGGCTCCCTCGTCTAAATTTCAATTTCAGGAAAACTTGGCATTGCTTGAATTAGAGGTTAAGAAGGTTATTCAAACTTCAAAGTAAGAGAGTTATGCCTATTCCGCTATGCTCATATAAACTTTCTTTCAAGATTTAAAAAACGGCGTTACGTCTGGGAAAGAGAATAGTAAGTATGAAACTTTGATTACTTTTGCTTCAAGTGCATGCTTATTCTATTTGGCTTTTCAACTTATTTAAATCATTTTCATCGCACAATAATAACAGTTTGATACAGAATAGTATGAAACCTCTGTAGTATTTTTTACATCCT